GGTGCCAACTTTAATATCTTTTGGACACCAGGTTAAGAGTGTCCTCTAACAAAGGGGCATTTGATGAGTTATTATAATACTGGAGTTTTGTTAGCTGCTTAAACAGGTCCTGTGACTGAATTTGTATAAGCTATTGTAACTTCTTTACATTTATTTTTCAATGTGGTTTTAAAATGTGTATTGTAATCTTATGATTTTTTATTGCTGTTTGTATTTTATATTACATCTTACATGTGGTAAACTGCCCAGACGTGGTATAGAGCTAAATATATAAATAAATGCTTCAACGTTTTCTCACATGCATGTCCTAACCAGTACACTACTTTAAAAGTAATATGAGCATTATTACAATTGGATGCAGAACATGATTTTAAAAGCTTACTAACAACAGGACATATATATTCCTGTAACTGAAGAGGTTGAGAATACCTAACACAAGGTCCACACTGATAGTGGCCTTTAATATCTTCACCGTGAGAACTTAAATGGGGAAAACTGGAATATAGGTCCTTAAAGGATGTGTTCCTATGATAACTTTCCAGCAGTAAACTGGAACAACCAAGGAAATCTTTCCTAGATGCCAATGTTTTCTCATGCTCTTATAAGTCTCTTTTCTCCAAGCAACTTTTAATTCTTTTCCTCTTGCTACCTCAGGTGAGAAAGTGGGATTGCTCCTTGAGTGCTGGTTTCTGCAGCACAGGGAGCAGAGCACTGGCTTTGACGTGGGAAACCAGGATGCAAATCCTTCTCACAGTGAAGCTCGTGCTCATTCATTCCAAACCGGCTTGCTTGCTCCCAAATGACACACCATCCTTAAAGCAGGTGAGATCTAGGGGGACTGGAGCATAGCATGAAACCTCTTTTGCCCTATCCAAGCTTCCTCTAAGTCCCTCCTTTCTAAGGACAAACTCGCCATGGCAGTTGCATCCATAGTTCTGCATCTCCTGCTGCTCTTCCCTGTTTCTGCTCTTCAGTGTTCTTAACATACAATTTGTGCAAAGTCATCAAGTACCCCCCCCCCCGTTATGCACATCTGTGATGCGACTGTGTCTGGTTGTGGTCACTGCACCCCAAAAGGTCCCCTGCAAAGCTACACGACCCAGAGGCTGGAGTGTCTCACCCACGAAGAATGGCTGCAACAGCTGAGACTGCTTCAGTGAGAAAAATATCAGGAAGGGGGGACATGGCAGAGGTGCACAGAAGTATACCTGGGACATTCTTTGCCTTATAGGATTAGGACCCATGAAGCTGAGTGGCAGGAGCTGCTACAGAGGTAGCAGGAAGTACCTCTTTACAGTGTGCCTAGTTAAACTAGTTGAAGTTCTGATGCAAATACAATATGGAACATTTGATTACTGCGTGTAGTAAGAAGACAGGGCCTGAACCTCCTTGTTGGAAAAGTACATTTTTATAGTATGCACTCGATATAATTGGAATTATAATGAGTCACCTTTCAGGGATTAATGTGAAATTAGTTTGCAGTGGTTGCCAGGGATTCTGACTGATCCCCATAAACCGGCTGAAATGTGCAGTCTTCATCACCGGCATCATTATCATTGCCTACTTTAGGAGGATGCAGTCGTGAGCCATGTTCTTCCCTCTGCCAATCACCAACCTCAGGGTGTTTCTTTTACAAAGGGCCCTCTATTGTTTCCAAATGTAAATCATGCAGACAAGTCTCTGCGCATGCACAAAGTGGTGAGTTGAGCCAAATCTAGCGTTTACTTCCAAAAACTCTCCTGATGAGCATGGCTGTGTCCCATCTCTTGAGGAGGGGCACTGTGGAAGCAGACATGCCTCTGTTCCACATGCTTCTCATTCAATGGGGCTTCTCTGACACTTGCTGACACTTGGCCACGGGGACCAGCACCAAAGCTGGGGGGGGGGGGCAGCAAAGATTCCCCAGTCTCAGCTGCCCCTCCTGCTGGCTGTATCTCCACACTGTTCCAAGGTCTATCTGGACCACCTCCATGTCTGTCCTTGGCCCAATCTCTTTCCCCTCCATCTCTTCTCAGGTCCTTGATCAACTCCACGCTCTTCAAATCCACTGAAATGTTCAGCTTCTTCTTCAGAATCTGAATCAGCAAGCTTCCGTGTGAACACCTGCCCGAGCTCGCTTTCACACTTGCTCTCAACAGGTTCTAGGGACATGATGCACAGGTTCGGGTCTGGATAAAACTCATCTGCCTTGGATCACAAGGTCTGGATCATTCAGAAGAGATTTTCAGCCCTTACCTCTGACCTGTGAGGCTTCGGACTTCATGCTTTTTCATACTTATATACTTACCAGGAAGCTTCTAATGGCTTCTCACTTGCAGTGGCTCTCTGGCCCGATCCAGTGAGTATTTGGAACGCCATATTTGTCACCAATTGGTTCTATTTGTGCCTGGCATCCTAGTCCCAATGGATACCCTGAAGCGTGCTTACTGGAACAGTGTGAGCAAGAGCTGAGAAGCATAGCCAAAGCCTTCTGCGATTGCTCCAGTGCAGGTGAGAGCAGGTGTGCTGCAGCCTCTCCACACCTCCCAGGTAAGGGCAGAACAGGCTCTTCTGGGGAACACCACCAGCAAAAACACTTGCAGAGCAGTGCCAAGACACTGCAGCTGCAACTAAGCTGCGTCATTTGCCTGCAGCCCCAGCATGCAAAGAGGGGAGGGAGAGGAGGTGGCCGTGTAGCCGCACCACTTTTCCCGGAGCAGCTTTCCAGCCTCTCTCTTCGTTGCTTGAAGTAAGGAAACCAGATGGCCTTCCTTGTACTTCAGCCTCAAAATGCTTATTTGGACTGTGGATGCAAAATGCATTTTTCCATGCAAAAGTGCACAAAACGATGGTCTGGGGAGAGCGCCTAATGCCAAAGTGCAGCATGTTCCAACCCATCGGACATCGTCCCAACAGCTCCTTTCCGCCTTTGCTTTCTCTTGACAGCTGCGCTGTGAGGAAAGAAGTCTTCTTCCTGCACCGGTCCTTCGAGCATTCACAGCAAGGATGGGAAGGGAAGGACCACAGTGCCCCTCCAGGCCCCCCATTGGCCGGATGATCCCAGTGAGTGTGCCAGGGCCACGGATGCCATCGCCCTGTCCCCACCCATGCCTGTCTCAGCAGGGCCAGATCCCTGGCTTTGTGCTGCCCATGGAGACAAGGCGCGCCATTGAAAAGAGAGCAGAGCCTACTGCCACTCTGCAGCATCTATTGTTCCACTTTGTAAAATGAAGCAAACAAAGGAAGAAAAGCAGATGTGACCATGGGTGCTCCAGGGAGAGGCATTGTGAGTATATTCCTCCTCCTTATTATTATTATTATTTACCACCTTCCTCTTGCAAGGAACTCAAGGAGCCTTTTATGGTCCCCTTCTTGTCTGCTTTATCTTCACGACAGCCCAAAGAGTTAGACTAAAATTCAAAACTAGCCCAAAGTCACTCGGAGAGATTTGTGCCTAAGTGGAGAGCAGAACCTGGATCTCCCACATCGTTGTCCTGCCCTCTAACCACTACAGCACACTAGCTTTCATGTGGCTCAGCCTCCAGCAGGTGCCCAAGAGGGTAGCTTCATGTGTGCTTTACAACTGTGTCTATACAGAGTCTCTGGAAGCATGCAATAGGCATGCTCTCCTACGGGTTTAAAAACAGTATGGCAGCCATTGCCATCCACAATCCCCAGACATAAATAAATGATCAGGAACAAAGCTGCTTAGGTATATTTGCAGCATTTTAATTCAGTTCCTGTTAAGTTATGGCAGAGACGTGGCTTTTGTTGATGTCAAGCACATCCGTGATTCTGGTGTTCTCTTCAGGATGCAGGACGACTATTGGTTGCCCTGAGACTACGGAGCAGCTTCAGCAGTGGCCCAGGACCTACATTGGAACTAACCATACAGCTGGGAAAGGAGATTTAACCCAATTTCCTGTGCAGTTCAGCTCAGATTGCCTGATGCAACTTTCTTCTTTCCATGGCTTCCCCACTTTCTGCTCTGAGCCCATCTCCTTATTTCTGTTCATACTATGCATTATGTGCTTTTCATTAAAAAGGAAAAAAGAACAGAAGTCACGCCAATATCTTCCTACAGGCTCACCAGCTGACAAGACAAAATCAGTGGGAACAGGATGTGGTAAGAACAGGGAGGAATTTATTTCATGAGCATATTAGTGTGAACCTAAGTCCCATTTCTCTGAACTGATGGGTTAACCAGAATGAACCTATCCTTCAATATCTTTTGTATTTCTCTAAATTTTGTGTTGCACTTCTCCAATCAAAATATGTGTAAAAATTAATTTATAAAAGGGAAACATGCACACAAAATACATATATTGAGGAAAATAATTATAAATGGGGAAATGACTTGCAAAAATGCATATATTCAGTAAAATTGAGTGCATAAATGTATAGATTAGGAAATATGCACACAGAAATGTGTATGCATTTTTGCATGGTGTTCTTTAGAAAAAGAAAAAAAACACACAAACTGATTCAGCAATGAATCAATGATGAAATGAAAATGATTTAAGATTGGAAAAATGAGAAATGGAAAGGAATTCAGGCAGATGCACTCCCAAAAAAGCACAGGATTTATTGAAGATCCCTTCCTGAAGGCATAGACACTTCAACAACCCCAGGCGGGACCACCTGATTTCTCCATGCCCCTCACACAGCCACTACGGGAAAAACCATGGCTGTTTTGAAAGTCATGAAGCAGCCTCCAGGGACTTTGTGGAGGTCTGAAAGAGGACATCTGCTGGCTGGGGATGGAAGGAGAGGACAGGATACAAGACCTTTCTCATCCAGTGGGAAGCAATCCAGTGGGAAGCAATCTGATAGGAATGTGTCGTAAAGGCCCTGTTTAAAACTTGCACCTGTCTTCTTTCTCAAATGTCATTAGAAACACTTATTCTACAACAAAGTCCACAAAATCTGTGACTTCTTAATGCCTTTTTTGCTAAGATCCAGCCCTCCAGTGGAACCCACCTACATCCTATTCCCAAATAAATTCATATCATTTCATCATATCCTGGTTTCTGATTTTATTTTAAGTCTCAGCATTTCCACAATGCTTACAAACAGCCATTGTTTAAACATAGACCAACAAACTGCTGACTTCACAAATGGTAACAGACCAAAGAATTTATGTTACAGTTTCCCTAACTTGAATAGCACACACACCTCTGCATGTATCCAGTGCAGATAGTAGCAAAGGAAAGAGCACAGTATATAATGCCTTATCATATCTTGTTTATGAAAATGAATGTTATATGCATGGAATAATATCTTATATAAGCTCTATTACAAAGCACAGCGCCACTCAAAATTACTTCTTTCATGATTGTTTCCACTATTAACTGTGGGTATGTGTTATGCAGAAAGCCTTGTTCGCCATTCTGTTCTGATCGATTCAACGGACTTGTTGAGAAATAGAAGCAGGATCAAAGGCCTGGCATTTGCTTGCCTCCCGTAAACTCCATTTCTGTTTCATGCAGAACATCTAAGAAGGCAAGAAGGGCCTAGAGGTACCACTCACACCTATATAAACATCCATGTTTGGCTCCACAAAATGATTCTTCAAGAACAATTCAGAAGCCTTCAGAAGCCAATGGACCTGCTCCCAGTAAGCATGTCTAGGGTCGCATCCTTCATCTGACTGATTTGAAGTAGATGTTTACATGAAGGTTCCTAGCCCTCGCAAATGATGAAACTAACCCATTTTGAAGCTTCAGTTGTACTGGAGAATTCCTGTAGATCTTGCTGCCCAATGACCACATTGCCAGTGGGTGAACAAGTGGTGGGGTGGGGAGGAGCTTGCTGGGAAAATCAACACTCTCAGCGAGCAAAGGAAGTTCTGAAGGTGAAGGATTCCACCACAAGTAATAGAAGGAGATCTGTTCCTAGCTTTGTATCCTCAGTAAGATATGGCTTGATTATTCCCATCCCACTCAAAGTAGTGTGAAGAGGGCCTTAGAACTGATGGCTCCCCACATTTCACTCTGATCTATTCGACCTCTGACAGCTTTTCAACAGGGCACATTTATGGTCTGCTCATGAGCCCAAACTAACAGAAGGGAGCTTGACACATCATCCTCACCTTCAGGGCTTCTGCTGTGTTTTCCAACTTTTTTTTTAGAACAAGGAACACCAGCCCTTATTTCCTTTGCACTAGGATGTCCTACCAAATGGCCATGCATTTTTCAGAATGGCACTATACCGCAGCGGCACTTGGTGGCTATGTAATAGAACATATAGGAGGGCAGAGAAAGAAACTCCTTGGGGGAAGGGATTGCATGCAAAGGACACACTCTTCAACCCACAAAGGAAATGAGAAGTGAGCCCTTGGTGAAGCCATGGGTGAAATCCCTCTTGTGGAGACACCCCCATCGACAGTATCACTTGGGCAAGTCATGTGCTTCTATAGGCTGTGTAGACACCATGATGGGCTGCCGGTCCTTCCTGCTTTATGGGTGTCTTCCCAGGGAAAATCATGGATCAGAAACCCTTTCTGTGTATGATACCACGGAGCCTGGAGTCAAGAGTCTGGAAAGGCCTTTATGATAGAGTCATAGGCAGGAGGGGGTGTTTGCGTTGAGTGGCAGGCACGGAGGCTGTTGTTGGACCACTGGAATTCAGGACGAGAGAGGCTGCTGGTGTTGCTCGCAGTAAGGGTGGTGGTGGTGCTGGTGGGAACCAGGGTAATCAGCTGACTTTCAGTTTCAACAGGAAGTGGAGGGCACTGAAGAAAGGGGTGAAATGTGGAGGCTCGGAAACTTGATTTTCTTGGGAAGGAGTTGGCCTGGTCTAAGGAAGCTTGCCTTTGGAAGGTAAGGCTGGCTAAGCTGAGGTTGCTGCGGTGTTCACAGCTGCTGTTACGGTAAAATCCTGGCCTGTTGGCAGCACATCCATGAGGAGGCCTGGAACGTCGTCTGGAAGAGGAGGCGTTCCACTGGGAAATATGTGCGCTAGCTCGGCGGCTGGACAGGCAGGTCAGCAAGGCCCAGATTATGCCTCCAATTACAAGTCCAATGACCACAGAAACTGAAAAGGCTATTAGTATTTCATCTAAAAGTGAAAAATAACAACAGTGGGGTCATTTATGATACATTAAATGAAAAAAATATGATATAACTACTAAACCAATGTAAGACATACATTTCAGTTTATGTATCTGTTGAGGTGGAACTTCTGTGAGCCACATGGAGGTGGAAATCCATGTCGATTGTAGGATAGGCTGGACTACATTGTGCTTTTGCATAAAAGAGAGTGGTCAGTTTTCCCAATAAACATGAATCAGGAAAATGAAAAAGTGGCGTGGTAATATTTGCTAACATCAAGATAGTCACAATCCATGCAAGAATAATAGAGAACGTGGGGTTCAGAGAACAACAATGACTCTCACATTTTGCCTGAAGTGATGTCTCTCCTGTTAGGTAAAATGCCTCAGGAATTGCAAGGGAAGGGGGGTTTCATGTTTTGGTAAGGTGGGCAAAATGTACTGCTGATGGGGCTTCACCCAGCCATGTGAACAGGAGAAGCTCGGTCCCCCTCTTGTCCCACCCTTTAGATAGATGCATTTGTTCCTCAAGAGTCTGGGTTTGGTCTCACTAGAAAGTGGGCTCCCATAGCATAACTACTACAACAATGCCCTCTGCTGGAAATTTGCTGGAATAGTTGTATCAGCTTCAATACAATTTTGTGGAACAATTATTCTGACAACCACAGACATACGTTTTTACAGTAACCTAACAAATTTAGGAGGGACTAAACTTTTTTTACATTCAGCCTTACATACCAATTAACATAATTGCCTTTCTCTATGAAAAGAGCTATAGGAAATGTTCTAATTGAGGTTGTGAGCTCAATCAGGACAGTATTTATGACTGTGCATGCTTTCTTTTGATGATACTTTTTCAGTTTATCTCATCACTTTCCTTGGACATGTACATAACTGCATTGCTATACTTCTTTGGAAATATTTGCCACATTTGGCTGATGGGTGACCGGAAAGTGATGGGGTTTTTTGCAATATACATCCCAAACGTAATGTACAGAGCAATTACTCCACTTAGGGTTGCCAAGGGAGAATTGCCAACTTTCATAACCTGCTTCTGTTCCCTGCATTCAGTAGCAGGTTTATACTAGCAGGCCAGTGCTGCTGTGAAAAGCTGCCCCACAAATTCCTGCATATAAAGTTGTCTTAAGGACACAAGAGCAGAGCAGGTGTTCTTTTCTTGTCAGTTGGCATCTCTAGCATTACCATCGGGACAGGCATCCTAAATCATCTGTTCCGGAACAAAATGGGGTATTCCTAAAGCTGCTGCTTTTCTAACCCTGTAGCATTCTGACATGCACAATTTTACCTGGCCAAATTCCCCCTTTTGCAGAAATCTTAAGCAGAGAAGAGCTGCACGGTTATTGCATCTAGTTCCTCAATGCTGGTGTTAGTCAGTGAAGTACCTTTCAGTGAAATTGTCATGATTGGAAAAAAGCTTCCTTAAAACTTCAACAGAAAGGCAAAAGAAATGTTTATATCTAAGCCTCCTGGATAATTTCAAAAGAGCTATTAGAAAATCAGCTAATTCCATAGTGAGTGTATCTATATATGTCAAAAGCTGGCTTTATTAGAGACATTTCCTCAGAAGTGAAGAGATATACTTTTTTCCCCATAACAATAGGAAGTCAATTATATACAATATAGGGTTTAATAATAACGGCAAAGCCAGAAGGCAATTATTCAGTAATTGGTTACAATAACATCATCCAGGGCTCAGTACCTCTCCTTGGAAGATGGTACCACTTTTCTGGGCATCTTGATTTATGACCTCCCCTCGTATTCAGAATTGAATTAGGGGGAAGTTTCAATTTCCTGCTGTTGTTGGGCAGCCATCAACGTAGATAGCTTCAGCAAAGCTTGGCAAGCAAGAGGCCTGATGTGGAGCCAAGCGATCCAGGTGTCCCTTAGTAACAAGGAAATTCAACAGCAGAAGCAATCAGCAAATATCCTGTGATAACATTTGCCAAACCCATCAGAAACTTGATCAACAAATTCTTTCCAGATCGGTCTAACTTAGGCATGCCTTTGTCAGGCTGAAACATGGGGAATGGAGCTGAGAAAAGAAGGCATGCAATGATTTTATTTTTGCATTATGAAACAAACTCTGTCTTCATTTGCTTGTTGTATGTATATATATTTTTCCAGCACAAACACATAATCTGCTGACTCCTGCATCGATGAAAATAAGTGGAAGGGCAATGAAGCAGGCTGCTAGTCCTCAATATCATTATTCCTGTATTGTATTTGTAGCATGCTCACAAATCCAAAGTAAAAGGATCGAAGACTGCATTCCTAAGCACATCTATCTAGCAGCCTGCCATTTCACATGCCATGGACATATTCCCAGAATAGCACTTGCACTAGGCCAGCCTTACCAATAGGCAGCGTGTGACGGCCACCTTATTCTGCTGATGGTGGAGGAAGCAATGGTGGCAGCTCCTCCGCCGTTCCTCTGAAGACCGCCAAGCTAGCCTGCCACCCTCAGGTATGGTGCTTTCCTGGTTGCAGGACCCAGGTATGATTCACCCATCAGTCCAGTCAGCTTCTGCGCATAGACTGGGGAGGAGTGTGTGGAAGTCCATCTTGCTCTTTGCCCAGGCAGCAATGTGCCAGCCTCGCTCTGGGCCGCTGTGGGGTGGCAGAAACCTTGCACAGCTGCATCTTGTCCCCTGAAGGCCCAGCCTCGTGTTAGGAACACAGAGAGCTGCTGCAGGCCTGGTGGGATTATTTGCTCATCTAGCCTGCTCTTGTTTACTCTGACAAGCAGCTGCTCTCCAGGGTCCCAGGCAAAGACTCTTCCTGTCAGCTGCTACCCTGGCCCTTCGAGCTCAGGGTTGCCTGAGATCCAGCACTGTGCCTTGGCCACTGGGGTGGCTAGGCCATTTAGTGCAGTGGGCTCAGTGAGCTTCCACCCAGCATTAGATGGGTGCCACATGCAGTTGTGCCATTGTGAAGCACATGACTAACTTTCTCTTCTCCTGTCCTGCCCAGCTGCCCTCATCACTCCATGCAAAGCAAAGCAAGAATCTGAGCATGTGCAGATTTGCAGTTTCATCTCACATGAACACAACACCACCATGATTGCAGGAATAAGATGGAGTTGGCTTCTGCAGCCTTTATTTGGAAATAAACAACGTTTTGCAGTAGGAAAAGAGAACATCTTATGAAAATGTGTGTGTGTTTGTTTTCTTTTTTAAATAACTGTCTTAGTTATGTGCATGTGCAGCCAGCTGCCCCAGAATGCATGATCCTGGAGAAGGAGGAGGAGGAGGAGGAGGAGGAGGAGGAGGAGGGAGGGAGGGAGGGAGGGGTAGTAACCCACGTCAGCCAGGATAGCCAGCGCGCCCATGCAGCCCAAACGCTGGCACCAGCCCTACTCGCCAGGCCCCCACAGCCTGCCCAACTCTAGTCGCCTCCCCTCTTGGGTCGCCCGCTTCTGCCCCTGCCGTTCCTCAGACGTGAGCTGCTGGGTCTGCTCACAGCATTAGGAAGCTGCGCGAGAGCATCCTCTTGTGCCCAGGCTGTTGCTGCACCCCCAGAGGCTGCTCTGTGTCTCTTGTTCCCTCGACCGCATCCCAGCAGCTCCATCCATGCTTTAACTGCACTGCAAGCCCCAGGACACTTTGAGCTGGCTCCTGGCAGGTAGAGCGGGGGAGATGGACTGGCCCTCTCCCTCTGCCCGCTTGCTCTATAGGGGCCCACTGATGAGGCACTGGATAAGGAGAAACCTTGTAAAACGACTGGCCTCTAGAGTCTTCCGCTAATCTGAACTGGCACCACCTGGCCATGGCTGACAGAGGGACTCTTTGGTCCTTTCATAACAGCCTGCAAACAACAAATGTCAAACATGAGCGTGTTGATCGCTTTGGCTTGCAGCTTTTCAGCAACACCCTGGCAAGGTGTGCAGTGGGGCCAGCAAGGAGCAAAAAGATGGCTCTCCAGGACAAAAGGCAGTTTGCCTATCTGTTTAACTTGCTGGATCTTGGCATCAATAATCTCCAGCATGCTCTGCACAGCAGCAGCGTGTGGCTGTCTCTGTGTGAAGGGTGGGTTATCCATGTTGGTTCCTGGGCTGGTGTTCCTGAAAGGCCTGGACTGGGCCTGTTTGGGGAACCAGAATGGCTTTGAACCCAGCATCTCTACAGTCATTCCCACCTCAGGAATGCCCCGTTCTAGAGCTTTCTCCAGCTACTGCCAGTGGGAGAACTGGCGGCAACAGTTCTCTGCTCACCTAGGGACGGTGAGGACCCCCACCATGGCCGATGCCCAGGGCTGGCCCTCTTCACCAGCACCAGAGGTTGTGGCCAGCCCCTCCCTACCACCGACGGATTCCATTAGGATTCCATTCTTAATGGCAAAATTTCAATAATACACTAGTAAGGAAAAGAACTGTTTTCCCTCAATCTAACATGGAAAAAAATCAGAGGAAGAGAGGAAGCAGCTGCTGGAGGTTAAAATAAGTGTCGCCATCACCTTTTCTTAAATGCAGGTTGCTTGCTTTAGTAGATGTCTGTGAGGCAAAAGTTCAGCAAGCACTTTTAACTTTTTTCTCTATGGACAGATGAAAGGTTGGCAAGCCTTTCCCTCCTCCAATGCATAACTTTAAGGATGGGCTTTTCCCCATTCTGTTTGAACAGCAGATGGGGATAGGTGAGGCTTCCCTGAGGAATTTCACAAGTCCAGCTTCCCCCAGTCTGGTGATGTGGCTATGCTGACTGGGGATGATGGCAGGTGCAATCCCACTGACCTGGAGGGCAGATTGGGAAAGTCTGCCCTAGGGCTGTCAGAACTATTTTTAGCTTCAGCCAGAATCTATCTCTAATTTCACTTTGAAATCCACTTGAGGCAAAATCCAATGGGAGCTGGAGTCCCCAGAAGGCAGCCATTTATGTGAGCAGAAATTCTGCCATTCCTTCTGGAGGTTTGGACATCACAGCTTTGTTCACAGAAAGACAACCCAGGAAGGTACCCCAGCTGCTGTCAATCCCTCTGCTTCCCAAACGTCTTTAGGGTCAGTGACCCACATTCAAGGACACAAACTCTTTCAGCTTCCTGTGAAGCAATTCATCTCTGCTGAAGAATAATTTGTCTGTTTAAACAGAGGAGAAGCACTCTTCCAAAGACAAATGACCAGAGAAGTGAGAAATTTAGAACCAACGAGTGCTCTTTGAGGCCTTCAGCTGAGGGCCAGCATCAAGAAGAGGCATCTTGGGCACCTACCAAGGCACATGGTCCAGCAGGGGCCCACTGACAAAAGCCTCTTAGAGATGCCCCCCCTTTTTGCCACTGCAGTTTGTCCACCTTTCTCCCCTTCCGGGAAGAGGATCAGGTGCCCCTTCCCATTTGCTCCTTGGTGCTCCGCCTGTCAAGCAAGCAAATGCTCGCAGGACAAGGAAGAGAATGAAGACCCAGAGCACCTGGTGATCATGGTAGGGAGAAGGGAGAGAGGGAGCCATTTAGGGTGTCTTGCCCAAGAGCCACATGAAGCTGGAGCCTGCACTGTGTTAGCTAGGACAGGTTATGGCAAGGGGGCATTGCCCACGTGTCTTTGTAGTGCCTGTAGTTGTAGGTGCACCCAGGGCAGGAAAAAGCAGGGCAGGATTCTCTCCCACATCACTTCAATATTTCGCTGACTGCTTCTAACCTGCACCCCCAGTCCTTTGCAAGGCAGCACGCAAGGGGCTTCACACCATGGCAATGCAGCAGCTGGAACAGCTGGGTCCTTGAACGAGATGTGCTTCTCTGGTGCTGGGAAAAGACATGGAACCCGCGCACTGGCCTGGCGGGGACACATGAAGAGACAAAGCCCCGGAATTGCTCTCAAACTAGAAGACCAAACACATAATTTTGAAATATGGCATGGTTGGGTCTTCCAGTTCTGTCGTACCCCTTTGTGGACAAAATATTATTTCCTTTCTCTGTAGGATTGAGCTCTGTCAGCGTAACAAAACTGGGAAGCCAGTTATTCTGTGCTTCTTGTTGTCGGCATCAAAACTCTCCCAGAGGCAGCCCCCACCTACTCGAAATTCTATACGAAGTTGCCCCCATTGGCTTCCCCCTCCATCTGTTCCATGCACAACAGCAAAAACATCTGTATAGAAGTGTTCACATTTGGTCTAAATTTGTTCTAATAAAACTTGGCAGGGAAAGTGGCACAGCAAAGTTAGAACCCTTGATTTGCCAGTTTGCAGATACACTTATTATAAGGTATATTGTGAACTTTTAGAGCCCATGTCTGTATTGAGCACATTGGAAAGGTGATTCACACAGAGAAATTTCAGTATAAAAAATATCCCCATTCACATTAAAAGAAAAACCATAGGAATAAGTACTTACTCCAGAAGTTGGTTGGCCATTGGGTGCCAGAACGAGTACAGTTGACTTCCATAGCATTCAAAGTTATCAAAGTAATGATGCTCTGCTATCCACGGTAGAGCCAGCCGTTGCTGCGTGTTAGAAATCTGCCTTGGAAAAAATGCCCTTACATATTCCTTCACATTGTTCTGTTTGCATGAAAGGAAATCAGTGTATCACATTTCCTGCTTTTATACTCAAATTAGCAACCGTTTGCCTTATCTTCAATCACCACATGGTTCCTGGGGCAGGAGAACAATTTCCTGATCGTCATTTCCTTGGCTGGACAAGAACAATACACTGTCCCCTTGCGCTCTGGTCGCTTTTGGATGCAACTCATCACTATGGGAAGGACAAGGGTTCCTGTCCTTTCTCAGAGTGTTTCTGTGCACAGAGGACCTTACCCTACCCTCCTAACAGTGTGAACTACCAGCACTTAGCAGGGATTTATGGCTGACATCCCTAAACTGTTTATAAACTGGGTGAGGTGTGGTACATTTCTTCTCTAGGGTAGCAATCTGGTTTTCTGGTGTGCTCAATTGCATTCAGATTTATTGCCATGCTCCAAAAGGTAAGAACAGGCTTGATTATTACATATATAATAATGGATTTTTATAAATCCATAGCGTATTTCAGTGTGCAGAACTCAGTGCAATCCTTTTCGAAAAGTTTTGAAAATTAAATCACCATAAGGATCTTTCTTGAAGACAAAGGAAGTAAACGAAGACAAAGATATGTGAAAAAGCAAGAAACTCCAAAGCAGAAGAAATGTGATATAAACCTAAGATAACCCAAACTAAGCTGAATGCTGACTGAAGTTCTACAGTAATTTCTTTGAGAGGTTAATTGAATTCAATTTGTTCCAGTGTATTAGTAAGAGACATGGAATTTTACATGTACATATGATTTGTGTGATCAGAGCACAGTATAGTATTTGTACTGTATTTTTCAAAGATAAAACTGGAAGGAAAATAATATCCTCTGGTTGTTTTCTTACTCTGAAGAAGAAGACAACATGGAAAAGCTGAGTTGCATCTGGAAAGCTAACATGAAAGAATGGTGGTGGAGCAGACCAAGGTCCATCTCAGTCAATCTTCTGGTCACACAGGGGCCAACCAGTTGCACACAGGATCCCACAAGCAGGACAGGAATGCAGAGCTCCCTTCCACCCCCATTCCCAGCAGCTGGTGTACATTCACAGGCATACTGTGGCTGACACTGGAAGCAGCATATAGCCATCAGCCTAGCCTATGTGCTGGTCTGGTTCCTTGGAGGATCAGTTAGCAGCAGTTTCTAAGGAAAAAAAATGGGCAGAGAGAGCAGAAGTTGACTTCTGAGCTTGCTTTGACAGAAGTTGACAGGACTTGCTTCCTGTCCTACTCCACATCTCCCTGAATGAGAAGCTGGGCGTATTTGATGAGACTGGGATACCATACCATTTGCTAATTTATTTCCAATCTTTCTTTGCCTGCATTGCCTTTCTCTCTCTTGTGTGTGCACATTGCAATTCCAGCAATTGCTACACATTATGTTATTAATTTTATTTTAGACAAAAAGCGGGGTAATTAAAATACTTTAGATAGACCAGATTGAAAAATTTAGAGTCATGGTAAACGTTAACATCATGGAATGCAAATGAAGTGAAAGAGTCTAACAGATGTTTTCACATTTGCCACGCTATTATCTTATCTCCCTTCTGCTTATGTTGGAGAGAAGTACAGCAAACCCAATACTGGCACCTTCTGGCTCACTACCACGCTTGCAACGATTAAATTTAAATAGATAAAAGAACCATGGATGGCTGGGGAATGTAGGGAGTAGAATGTTTTCATCTTCTTAAACATGCATAGGATTGCAGCTTAAGGTTATTTGAGATTATACCTTGAAGTATAAGGTATATGTAAATCACATTTTGTCCTATCCTTTCAAAGTCTTGAAAAAGAACAATTGTTTTGAAAGACGTTGAAGTTGATGGTTACCAGCAAGAAGAAGCTATTAGGGTTCATGCTTTTTAACATCTACATTAAACATTTTAACATCTGCATTAAGATAAGATCGTCTGAAGTTATACGTACAATGCAATGATCCTACCTTATGATGGCAGTAAACCCTCCTCCCTGCCCCAGTATGAAGATCCCAGGGGAGTGTAGCAATTAATTTATTCCAGCCCTCAAATAAAGATCTTACCCATCAGCTGTACACAAAACAAGAGTTTTCAGAGTTATGTAGGTCAAGATTCATAGCACTTACAGATTTTAATCTACTGTGCATTTCTAGTCTAGGCCTTCCACCTGTGATTCCATATTCTAGAAATAGAAGTGCAATATTTAAAGTAGAGGTTACAGTCATGAACCCAGAGCCTTGACATGAACATTGTGAATTGAGGATGCTTCCCAGCTGTGGGTTCCTAGGGCTATGAATGAAAAGGCAGTGATTGTGCAGTGATTCCATCTCTTTTTCCTTAATATATATTCTGCTTGAGAAATAAGACTAACGAAGTGCAGGAAAACATAGGAGGGTTTGGAGAGAACATGGTGGCGTTTAGATCCCCTATAAAATTCCATGAATAACATAGAATCATGGTGTGATAGAAGTCCCATTGAGAAACATCCCAAGTCTGATCTTATTCCAAAATTAGGACTTCCTGAGAATTTTTAACGCATAATGTTGTTGTCCCCGAACCTTTCAAAGCTAAATTGTGTGCTGCTGTTATAAATATATGAGAGTGCAATCCTATGCATGTTTAGGCAGAAAAAAGTACTAGAACTCCCAGCATTACTGTCTAAATGATGCTGGGAATTGTAGGACTTCTTGCTTTCTGAATGTGTCTGGGATCACACCTTTATTCTCTTTCCGGTTCCGCTCTATCAATGTGTCAGCTAAACAATCCAAGCTATTCAGTTACAGCTACAAAACAATTACAGCTACATATTCTGCAGATATGTAGTAGTAAGAACATTTATTCTGGAAACTTCTGTGTGTGCAGCCACATCATGGAAGAGAATTCAACATGGTTGTATGAACATCTCTGGAATAGTTTTCCTGAGGTGTGCAAGCATCTGTTCACCTCTTTCTCTGAGCTGTTTCACAGCCAGTACATCAAGTCTCTGTGATTGACCCATGTGGTGGACATGCAGTAAGGTTAAAAAGGGGGGGAAAGGAAATACATTCTGAAATACAGAAAGTTTTGAAAATTTACTGTCCTATCAATGCTAAGAATATGCTATTGAGTATTCCATCAGGATCTCTTCCAAGAAATATGGAAGAACTGTTTATATGATAACAGAAACTAGAGTTAAAATTGCAACAAAATGAAAAGCAGAAGACTGCCCAGCCACTAAAGAATGGAAAAATAAACTAACAGAATATGCAGTACTGGCAAAATTAACCAGCTATATAAATAGAAGATGAGCCAAAGAATTTAATGATAAATGGAAAGGTTATGATACACATTTTACTTAACTACTGAGAGAAAAAACAAAATTTATGTAAGGATGATTTGGCTGATACATTTACTAACTAGCTCTATAAACAGAAAAGCAGTTAAAGATTTTTATGATACATAGAAAGCACATTATACCTACTTTATTCACCAAATCAGAGAAAAAACAGAACCTATCGATATTATTACGTATACAACGATCAAATTAGTATAGTTGCCTCTTGAATTTAATTTCTTTTAAGCCGTGAAGGCCTTTCCCCTCATAGCCACCTTCTTTACTTCCTTCAGGACACTCCTTTAGATAGTCCGGCCCTGAGCTGTTTAGAGCTTTATACAATGGTGCAAATCAGTGCAAGTGGCTGGAACTTCAATTGAAAATCAGCACAGCTGATATAGCACCAGGCTGATAAGTTCATTTCTACTTGTCCCCATCAGCAGATGAGCTGCCCTGTTCTATACTCACTGAAGTTTTTATGCAATAATTATTAGTCTTCATTAATTTAGCTACTATTTTTAACTATCACCAATTTTTGTGATGTTTCCCACATCTGTTATATGTAATTTTTGTACAGGGTCCCTCGTTAAGTTTTTCTTCTCATTTCTTTATTTTTCTTTCTTCCTTATCTATTACAACACATATTATACCATTGTCCCTACTTCTATGTTTCAATATCTCAAGCTCTAAATGGCAAGCCAGGCCATGCTGCAGATTTTAGACCAGCCACTCCCAGCTGGATGTTGGACTACAACTCCTATCACCAGCAGTCAGCACATCCAATAGGGATGCAGATATTCTCAGCATTTTGGCAGACATCTTGTTAAGCAGGAAAAAAAATATGGCTAAAGAATATGAAAAGATGAATGGTTGCCAACCCTCATTTCCTTTCATCATTGTTATTTTTATAATCTCTGCTCTACATGATTTACAACCTGCTCGCAATGATAAGGAATCGTTTTTCCTTTAACTAATAGTTCCAGTAGTGTGACTACTTCATAATTTTGAAATAATCATAACAGTTTAAAATATTGTGATAGTCATTTATTGCTATTTACTGGAAAGTGCTGTAGTGCACACACCAGAGGCATTCCAAACATTCATGCCCTATTTGTAATTTGTAAACAAAGGAGACTATTTCAGTTTAGAAGGTGCAAGTTTGAGCCACCTTGAAGGTGCGGCTTCACTTAGGGGAAACCACCTGGTTTTCCATGATCATCTCACATACTTAAACCATCTCACAGATGTATAATTGTTTAAAATTATGCGTAGAAGACACGCTGTTTTAACAATGCTTTAATGTTTCAGTATAGTTCTACTGTTTTCATTTGAATTGTGATGCACTGCCTTGGTAACATTTGTGCAAAGGCAGAATATAAACAATATTAATTAATAAATGGGTGCATTTTTAAATATAATTCCCAACTGACAGAAAGGAAGTGGAGAGAGAGCTTTCATCTTTGGAGATGGCCTGTCAATGCACAGAAATCTGACTTCAGAAATGGCAGTATTCAGAAACCAGTTAGAGTTCATTTCAAACCACTCAAACACTCAGCGACTTATCTTACGGGAGCCACCTTCAGACAAGAGAATTTCTAAGATGAAATGGCTGAATTACATATTCATCAATACATCTACTTGCACTGATTCAGTTGTGAAAGAAGCGATGATTTCCTGTTCCCACAGATGTTAATTAACTCAGCATCGCTAAATTGAGTGCTTTG